TAGATCAGGTTTTGATACGTTTCAAAAAGTAAATTGAAGACCTGGACATCATTAAAGGTGTTGTACTTTCGATAGTGAAACCAAACCTGACGATATATGCATGAGGTTGGGTTTTTTGTGTGTGGTATTTTTTTTTCTTAGAAGATGATTTTAAAAAATGCTAGCGATGGCAGTTCCTAGTTTTGCCAGGATTATATTAGCCAAAGTTTGATATCAGGATTTTTTGGGAACTCTCTCACCACTTTACCTCAAATCCAGAAAAAGAAAAGAAGCAACCAAATAAACGGTAATAAAAGAAAAAGATTTATACTGGCGTAAAATTCGCAAAAAGAAATATATTATACATTATGTATTATGTATTACATGAACTATATATTATGTATTATATGAACTAATTAATATTTTTTTAATGATACATCCAGATATTTCCTATCGCCGAAGCTTCAAATAATTTTATTTTTTGATATTGTTAAATTTATCAGGGAAGAGAAGTCGAGAATTATCAGTAAACTGCAGTAGCTGTAGAAGTTAGAATAGAGTCTCATGTAAGCACAGCTGTCAGAGCAGAAAGCAGTAAGTGGTTGGTCGAAATGATTCTGTTAAAACCATTATTAGATTCTTAAAAATTTCACTGAAGGAAGGAGATTCTTGGTCATTAAGAGGCAAATTTGGGAAGCTGCTTCAATGTCGACTAGAACTGATAATGAAAAATACTGGATTATTTGTTTAGAGCATCTTTTAAAGAAATACTTGGAAACGATATTTATTGTTGTATAAGGTAGTTTCAAAGAAAAACTTTACTCAAATACTGGAAAAAGCTTACTTTTGAAGTAAGATTTAGACACAGGAAAAACACCTCGTCAGGTTATTTCCCATTGTAGAAGTTATAACAGATCGCACTCAGCCGAACCTTCGTCCGAGCAGACATTTTCGCTTTGGGGTTTTCACAGCGGAAACTAGCGGATTTTCCGCGTTACTTCCGGTCATCCGTAAAGGTGGAGAGAGCGTGGTTTGAAAAAACTAACCGATCTTACACATTTGTCGTGTTTTTAAAATAAGCCCCACAGTTCCTTTTCAACTTTCAAATGCATAGCTTCGAAGTGAGTATTCCTTGACTGTAATCTATTACAAAGCTGGTACTTCTGTAGAAATTAGTAATAATTTGTACTTCTTTTACAGGTGCAGCTATGAAGGTTTGAAACGCTCAGATTACTTGAATACGTTCACTTCTTTTGTACACAATTTAAGTTTTAAAAACACTTTGGATTAAACAAAGATAAGTAACTGTCCAGCAACACAAAGATGAAAGTATGATAACTGGATCATCCACAGTTGTGCGATTAGAGACAACAATAAGAGCCTTAAAAATATTCACAAATGTTTATGGTCCTAATCAGTGGTTAAATTTTTTATTGAGTGCTGTTCTCGAGTCAAGGTCGAAACAAGTATCACTTTAAAAACACTAAAGGGCTGAATGCTCGTTAAACTGCACGAATAAAATTTTTTAGATTTATGTACAGAACTACATGAAAAAGTACATGTACGGTTAACAAACTTATTTGGATTATTCTCGATCATTGTCGACAGCCGTCTGTTGCATGTTGTAAGAGATCAGGAACTCAAAGAGCAATCCATCCATTCCGGCTGTGCACAAACTCATTTCCCTTTATTGAATATAACCGATGACGGCACTTGTTAAATGTGGGACATCCATCACTGGCTCTTAATTCATAGGAACAACTCTCAAGCCTCTTCATCACCTGCAAAGTTATTACTGTGGTTAACTTTATAAGACAGAACAGAGGAAAGATGATTTGTATAAGGTAATTTTGTAACATCTTTGTAGAAGGGCTGCTTCTTATCACTGATAACCATAACGTAGTGTTGCTACTGTGTGTCAGAAGAAATCACTTGAAAAAAAAACAGATCCCCTCTAAACTCTCAAAAATTTTTTCTTTCGTGTCTGTACCGCATCATCTTAATTAGAGTCGCTTGTATGATATACTCGGTGATATGAATGAACACAATAGACCTTAAATGAAATTTTGCAGCTGAGCGAACAATAATATGTAAGTATCATTTAACCACCCCAGATTTATTATAGTTTAGTCATCTACTAAACGAAAAGTACAAGCCGCACCATTTAGTTTTTAGTTTCAAAACAACATTTGACAGATTAATTGCTTACTGTACTTGAAAGTGTACACAGAGAGAGAAACTAACTTCTTGAGCGTTCATTTGTGGCATAACAAAGCGAACTTAAAAAAGAAGTTGATAAAGATGGCAAATTTACTGCTAGTACGACTACGTACTCCCAGATTTCACCAGAAAATTACGCTGAGATCTTATAACAAAATTTATGAGCGACTTCTCTTCTGCACGTTTCACTCTATTAAAAGCTGAGAATACGTTATTAACGTTTAATTTTTCGTGTTCCATGACAGAAATAAAGTCCCTGACTACTATTTTCTTTCTCAGATTAGGACGAATTTTTTTATTACAAATGTTAATCTGCGTCTATTCTCTCAAATTTGGTCGACTTAGCAACATTTTTTACAGATAGGCGCTTGTAACACTAGGAAATAACGGCCAAAAAGAAAAATGTTCAGGGTAGAAGAGTGTTTGCAAAATGGCCTTACTGAAGGGAGAAGCAGAAAAGAACTACATCGAGTGGAAATAAGGGCCAGAGGTCCAAAAAAAAACCTAGACAAGAAACCAAACAAAAAACGAACCTTTTAGTGCAATGTCTGACAGTTTAAATTTAAAGTATTGATGGACATTACCTCAAACCCAACGTTGTTCCATTTTTTTGTTTTTAAATTGGGATAGTTCGTATAAGTATACCCTTCAATCCTCTTTTGTTCCGTTAGCAACATTTTTTCATACCTCTCTCTCCACCTTGGGACATATTTAGCAAGCACATTACTGGGATATTTTATGGTATTGTTTTTCAGCGGTATTAATCTAGAACGGTAACTTTTTTGCCGAAAGATAAATCATTGCAAAAGCAAGATGAAAAATCATTTTATACTGCGCGGTCAAAGAAGGTCCTTACGCAACAGGGAGGCTTCTAATTCAAACGGCGAATACTATGTTTAAAAACCTCAGATGGATGAGCCTGGTTATGTTCGGATTCATAATGTGTTTTGTGTACCCGCGACCCATTGTTGTTACGTCATGCACAAGTTGGACAAGAACGCGCTCTGGGATGAGAATCATCTAAATATTTTCTTTGTTAAAAATTTAAGTGTTTCATCAGCACAGCACATGTATGTGTTGATGATTTTCTAACATCGCATCTGCAAAAATTAGATGCTAACAAAGGACTATTTCGATTTAATGAGTTGACATTTGTAGTATCGTTCCTTTACATGAATAAATCGTACGATATTGGACGGGCATGCTTGCCAGTGGTGGAGAAGCGGAATCGCTGAATCCAGCGCATCATTAGGAACTAACAGCGGGAAGATAATGAGATAAGAATGAGCACTTAGATTTCTAATCAAAGACATTGTAAAAATGTTTTAATCAAAACCTTAAAATAGAGTACGGACATCATTTTTCAGATGTTACGTACTAGTATTTTACTGTGAAGCCACCTGTTGAGTCAGATGCTGTGGCATTATATCAAAATACTTCTATCAACCGTAAGATAGAGAGTTTTTTGTTATCCACTGAAGAGATTCCTCGTTTTGTTTTTAAAAAAGTTTTCGACAAGCCATTCCGCCTAAAGATTTGAATTCTCCGTTTATGAAGATCTTTTTGAGAAACGAAAGGTATTTTACGTAATATAGTGTAAATAAGTGGGGGTTGCAGATGAACGGCGCTGTGTAACCCGTCTTCAGCACGATAGTGCAGCCAAATCGGAAACGAGTGTAAAAGGAAATTTGGTGAAAGGAATCGTGCGAAATTTCGCATGGCTGAGTTGTAAATCAGCCGTGTTGAGCCGTTATACTGTTCAAACACTGTACTGTTTATGCTGTTTAATTCGTAACGACGACAGTAATCAACTGAACATTTTGGATGTCGATGGGTACAAACCGCATTTTTGACAGAGGTTAAAAAAACCAAGCTCCGAAAAAGTTGCGGCATTCGTTCTGCTTCTTTTTGTGAAAAGATAAATTGAGAAATCGCTATATTTTGACTATAATTACCGATAACTTTACCGTTCACTGCTGGTACCTTTTCATCTGCTTGAACTGTCTGGACAAGTAACCTGCACATGATCAAGCTTGATCAAGGACCTTCTCTGCAGATTTACAACACCTTACAAACGTGTTATATATATACTTATATTTATATAAGAAATGAACTTTCTTTGGAGGTCTGCGCACGGTTTCAAGCAAAGCAAAAGGGCGTCAGCATGGTATGGAAACAGAAGAAAAAAGAGTAATCAAAGATCTTCTTTTTGATAATTCTCGCGTATTGGGCACCATAAAATTTGCCGGACAAAAATATCTGACATTTAAGTGATTTACCGCAGAATCTTCAGGATAAAGACAAGCTTTGTGAAACTCCCGGGGTAGCTTCTC